CTTATGGGGAGGAAGCAAACAGTGCACGGCTGTAGACCACATCTGCAGTTGAAGGACGACGCGCAGCAGCAGCAACAGCAGCAGCAGCAGCAGCAGCAACAGCAACAGCAGCAGCAGCAGCAGCAGCAGCAGCAGCAGCAGCAGCAGCAGGAGCGGACCAAATAAATTCTTGAGTAAGAAAGGGAGATGATGCGTAGCCCAGCCCTTATAACATTCTGATGAAGCCGCCGCAGCAGAGTGTATGTATCGTCTTGTCTAAACCTTTTTTCGTGCTGCTGCAGCACTGCAGCAAACGCATGCAGGTCCCCGCTGCGCACCGCCTGCGGTGTACATACACCCCAACGCATGCAGCATATACACATATATACACATACAAAACCCCTTTCTCGTTTCTGCTGCTACTGCCTCCGCTCTGCTGCTGCTGCTGCCGCTGCTGCTGCTGCTGCTCTTGCTGCTGCTGCTGCTGCTGCTGCTGCTGCTGCTGCTGCTGCTGCTGTACTAGACGCACCAAGACAATTTCTCTGTAGGGCACGAGCTCTGCATGCATATTTTGTTTGTTAAAGAGAGAGCGCTCCGGGATGTCCCCCATAAGCAGCTCGACGACGATACATTTCTTCAGGGCCTGCAGCAGACAATCAATGCAGCAGCTGGCTGCTGCTTTCTACTCCTGCTGCTGCTGCTGCTGCTGCTGTTGCTGCTGCTGCTGTCTCACCGCGAGTCGGAAGCCTCGGGCTATCGTCGGCTGCTGCGGAGCCTTGCGCAGCGCCAGCTGCAAATGAGAGAACGCAGAGCCATACTCCAGCCGCGCAGCCTGGATCTGACCTGCAGCAGCAGCAGCAGCAGCAGCAGCAGCAGCAGCAGCAGCAGATGATGATAATGATGGTGATGCAGATGCAGCAGCAGGCGAGGTGCTGCAGCGGCAGAGACACTCGTGGCTGTGATAGGGCATGCAGCAGCACAAAGAGGTGCTAGAAAAAGCAAAAGATGCATGCAGCACAGCGGGCTCCAGCAGCAGCAGCAGCTGCAGCAGCAGCAGCAGCAGCAATAACAAATACAGCAGCAGCAGCAGCAGCAGCAGCAGCAGCGGAAAAGAGAAGTGCAGCGGGAACAGATCTGCTTCTGCTGCAGCAGAAGCAGGCAAAGTACAACAGATATGAGACAGAAGCAGCAACGCTGCAGCACTCAATTGGTGCTGCTGCTGCTGCAGCTACAACACCACAGAGACGAGAGCAGCAGCAGCAGCAGCAGCAGCAACAGCAGCAGCAGCAACAGCAGCAGCAGCAACGAACCCAGATAATACAGATAACGCGCGTGCTGTGCGTTGGACTGAAGCCCCTCTGGATACGTGGTCTTCTGCACCTGCAGCCACAACGCAGAGACAAGCAGCAGCAGCAGCAACAGTAGCCGCAACAGCAGCAGCAAAAGCAGCAGCAGCAGCAGCAGCAGCAGTGAAGCAAGACGCAGTCTTGTTGGCGGCGTCAGCAGGAGGAGCAGCTGGAACAGTGCTCTTCGCAGAAAACAGCAGCAACGACAGCAGCAGCACCACCCCCAGCAGCAGCACCAGCAGCAGCAGCACCAGCAGCAGCAGCAGCAGCAGCAGCAGCAGGAGCAGCAGCAGCAGCAGCAGCAGCAAGAGTAGATCACCAGTTTGAGTGCAACATCGTGCTGCTTGCTGGCTACAAAGAGGCGCAGCAGCATATTCAGCAGCGTCGCCTGCGTTGTTATGTCTCGGCGAGCACTGGCTTTGCGGTAAGCCGCCAGGTATTCACTGCATGCACAACACACAGCTCCTGCTGCTGCTGCTGCTGCTGCTGCTGCTGCTCCTGCTGCTGCTGCTGCTGCTGCTGGGGGTGGTGGTGGTGCTGGTGGTGGTGCTGGTGCTGCACCAGCATGTGGATTATGATGGGTGGAAGAGATGCAACGGCAAAGCTTAACCCTAAACCCTAAACCCTAATCCTAAACCCTAAACCCTAAACCCTAAACCCTAAACCCTAAACCCTAATCCTAAACCCTAAACCCTAAACCCTAAACCCTGGAGCTTACGCGCGGCGATCACACTTTTGTTTGGAGAGTTCCAGGGCCCTGCCGTGATAGAACCAGGCCTTTGCTGTTAGTCTGTCTAGCGAGCGTCTGTCGTGCTGCTTCACTCTCTCTATGAGGCAGCAGCTGAACTCCCAAGCCTTCTCCCACTGCTGCTGCTGCTGCTGCTGCTGCTGCTGCTGCTGCTGTTGCTGCTGCTGGGGAGGAGGATCGAGCAGCAGCAGCAACACCAATGTAGATAGCAACACCTCAGCCTCAGGGAGACAGCTAAGGAAAGATGAAGCCCGGAATGATTGCAGTATTTTGCTGCTGCCACCTGCTGCAGCATCTGCTGCTGCTGCTCCTGCTGCAGCGTCACCCTCCTTCTTCGTCTCTTGCTGCTGCTGCTGCTGCTGCTGCTGCTGCTTCTGCGGCGGGACCTGCACACAGGGGAGAAACACCATTCAACTTTCTCCCTATAGGTGTAAGCAGGGACTGCGACCAAGGGTTTAGGGTTTAGGGTCTACTGTTGTGGGTTTAGGGTTTATAGTTGGGGGTATAGGGTTTAGGGCCTATGGCCGCGGGTTTATGAGGGTTTAGGGTTTATGGTCGCGGGCTTAGGGTTTCTGGTGGGGGGTTTAGGGTTTATGATGAAGGGTTTAGGGTTTAGGGTTTAGGGTTTAGGGTTTGAAGGTACCTCGTCTGTCTCCATATCCCCCTCTCCTTCTCTGTCGCGGACGATTGCTTCCAGGGTCTCTCTCAGTGTCTGCCAGAAAGAGAAAGCATCTTCATCTGGCTGGCTGCGGCTGTGTATATGTATTTTCCCGTTTGTGCTGCTGCTGGGTTCCTGCTGCTGCTGCTGCTGCTGCTGCTGCTGCTGCTGCTGCAGCAGATCTTGCTGACCCCAGAAAATCAAAGAGCAAACCTGCAGCAACTGCTTCGGGTGCTGCTGCTGCTGCAGACGCAGCTGCTTGAAACGCCGCAGCATACGCAGCATGTACCGCTGGTCTTGTGTTTCTACTGCATCCCTAACCAGCACGAGAGAAGTAGTAAGCAGCTGCAGGTATCTCTCTTTCGGGTCTAGCGGTGCTGCTGCTGCTGCTGCTGCTGCTGCTGCTGCTCCTCCTGCTGCTGTCTCTGTAACAGAGCCATCCTTGGCCTCTGAGGCCTTGCTTGTGCTGCTGTCATTCGTCATTGCTGGCGTCTGCTGCCGGTCGGGCCCAGCGGCTGAGGGTTTAGGGTTTAGGGTTTAGGGTTTAGGGTTT